GGTGGGCGTGCCGGGCCGCGGCTTTGGAGGGGTCGGGGTCCCTGTTCCCTCCTCGCTCGGCTTCTGTCTTTCAGAGGGGCGGCTGTCCGGTTTGATCTTTCAAGGCTATCTTCCTGTGCGGGCTGGTGCCACGGGAAGTCCTTTCGAATAAAGCGATATCGCACCCGGGATATCCTCATACGTTGGAGCTGTTTGATTTTCTGATCGGTCTGTTAGAAATCAGGACTAATTTATTTGGTTGAGCACGAGGTTTACTGTTTGCGCGCAAACGGGCAACTGGGGACAGATTAAAAAAAAAAACAATTCATGAAACGCAGCTTTGCCGTTTGGACCATAGTGGTGCGATGGAGTTATCCTGTAGGGTGAGCTGAGCAAAAAGCAGGGTTGGGGCCCGGGGGGCGACATTAATGAGCGAAGGTGGAGAACGTCATCCACGTTTCAAGAGTTCTTCTCAAGCGGGCCTGCACGGCGAGCAGCGCCCACAAGCCGCAGTTGGTAGCGCACGTTTTCCCGTACCAAACAAGGCAGTTAGAGCACACGGGATCCATCCGCCCCGCTGACATCCTGCCGGATAATTGCTGGCTCCGCCCCCAGTTCCCCCATCCCGGCGTGCCGTGCGCGGGGTGACAGGTGGGGCTAGGCTGCGAGAAGCCAAAATGGCGGACTTTGAAGATCGGGTGTCGGATGAGGAGAAAGTAAGAAGCCTGGGGTGGTTTGGGGTGTGTTTAGGAACAGAAGAAAGGTAACATTTCTTCTCTGGGTGTACAGAGGTTTCTTACACGGATTTTATTTTTCTTAGCCGGCCTAAGAATCTTGAAACTGAGGTGATTCGTAAGTTTAAGAGGACCGTTTTTCTCGGAAAATTAACTGTCAGGAGAATTTTCTGCTCTTTCTGTATTTTTCTTTTGTTTCTTTTGTTAATTTTTTTTATAAATTAATGGGACACAAGGGCAAGCCGAGAAACTGCCCTCAGTTTCGTCCCATTCTGTGAGCATTTGTCTTTTAGAGAAAATGTTAATTTTACACTAGTGTGATTTTCCAATTTGTATTCTAGCTCCAACAGTTCATCCACTAAACACTATAGTTCTGATAGTTGTTGAATTTTTGGATTATGTTTCAATGTTCTCCTTCCTTGAAGGAAATCAGGACAGAATATACCCTTGCCTTCTCTATCAGAATACAGTAGCCCTGTGAGGTAGGATGAACGCTCTTCGTTTTTCCTGTGAAAAGACAAATTCTGTTAAATATATGTTCCTATGGAGTATACCTGTACTCCAAAAGCAACTCATGTGGATGAAATTCTGGATTTCTAGTATTTTTCAACTAACGTATCATTCTTTTTTAAAAGTAATGCCCTCTGGTATTTCAGCTTATATATTATTTAAAATATACACAAGTGATTTTGACCATAGAAGTCTTGCCAAAAAGATTGATTAGGCTAGTAGGTATTGAAGATGGGGATTTTTTTGTGGGGAGTGGGATCCCATTATTTTGGAATGCACTACTTTGATATGTGGTTGCCTCTGTCCCTGTTTTCAAATAAGCTTCAAAATCTGGATAATTTAGTCTGCTTCTAAATGAATGGATGATTATTTTTATTTTACAAACTGGATTTTTGACCATTCTTGTTTTAAAAGGTTTAATGTTGCAAAAAGTCAAGTGTGAACACAGGCAGTTTTTGAGGAAATTGAAAGCAATTTGAAATAAATATTGTTCCTTATGTATATATTCCACTACTGAACCTAGTGAATTATTTTTGCATACTTCTATATTTTTTTAACAAAAAACATCAAAGCAGTCTCTCCAGAGTTGATGCAGAATCTGTATTTCTATCCAAATGCTTTGATTATCCCATTATCTACCCCAGATGCAAACATGGCTTTTAGTAGAGTCCTTTCAGTAGAATCTCTTCTATTGATGTCTTTCAGTCTCTAGAAAACATACTTATGCAAGTTGTGCTATTTTCACATTATCTGTATGTCTCTCACATGTGGAGTAATGCAAAGGATTTTGTTTGTTCCGATAATATAGAGCATAAAAGAATAACATGTATCTCTTAAAAGAAGGTTGTGCTATAGATAAAGAATTTGATTTTGAAAAGCAGTATATTCCCTATTAGGATTATTTTGTCTTTGTATAAATAGTTCATATAAATAGAATTGCTTCTCTCTCTCTTCATAGATATCATCTAAATATTATCTGACAAAATACAAAATATTTTGTTATATTTTGTAACATTTCAATATCTGTTAACCTCATTAAGTTTTAATGGAGAGTTGGATGCAGATGTTTGCTTTGCCTGCACTATATTTGAAGGTGGCAGTTGTATTATTACATTACAAGTCAAACAATACATCTCTTCTTAGAAGATCAGGATTACTTCATGTTATAAGCTTTACTGTAGAACATGATGGGCTTATTTGCTTTAGTATATGGAATAGTTCAGATGCATGCTTAGAAAAAGTCATGAAACAGAAATCATTTGGAGAATATACAAACTTTTAGTTTTTCTTTATTGAGAATGAGATCCAGCAGACTGAGCATGCTACAGATGCCCTCCATTAAGCAGTGTCATTTAATGGGAGACAGGAGGCATGCCTGCCCTATGGTTTGAATGATCCCAGCTTTGCTGACTTTCTATAGGACATTACACACTTGGCTCTTCCCCCTAGCTTTAGGCCTGGATATTGGGCGAGCCTGTTTAGTATGATGGCTATCTGTATTTGAGTTTTGCTCCATGTACACAAAGTTATTTTAGTTTTTTTTTAATGGTTATAGTGGTTATTTATTGCTTGTTAGTCACCCAGAGGCCCATGTCAATTGGGCTGGCCATATAAATCTATATAATAGATACGCTTAACAATAAAAATAAAAATACTCCAATAAAGTAAAATAGAGAGATTACATTTAAAATACTAATTAGCAAGTTCTGATACCACATATTAGTTTCTAAGTTCTAAGCCTTATGTCTATACTGAAGCTTCAACATCTAAATTCAGTCTAATCCACACCAGAAAATATGCATAGTCTTACCTACTAAATCACAACTATGGAGGAAGCTGAGGTACATTATTGATGTTGTGGCTTCTTTTTGCATGTGAATAATGTATGTTGTGTGTTCTATTTTACTTGTGCTTTACTGGAAATTAAGTATGAAAACTCCTTGCAAGGTCTGCACACAGAGCTAATTATGATACCTTCAGGCTTTTTAATCACAAACATACCTCAGAAGGTCTGCCCAAAGTATTTTCAGAAGACTTCTCCCTACCGAGTTCCTAGTTTGGATTGTTAATAGGAAAACTCCATACTTATCTTCAGAATGTCTCTTGTCTAAATCAATACTGACCCTTTGGGTATTAGAGCTATTATCAGAGAGATAATATGTGCTGTTAGCAATATGCATAAGTACACATTTCTAATTTACTTTAGCATCCCTTTTCTTACAAAGCTGCCCTTTAATAATGGCTGATACAATTATAGTATCCTTTATACTGATCTCCTGACAGCACCAAAAAATTGTATACTTTTGTAGTCCATGCATTCCTATCTGTGTGCCACATAAAGTGGAGACATATAATATACTGTTTTTGCAGTTTTGTTTCTTTTAGTGTTGCATAAGAACTCACTCAAATGCCAAAGAATAATAATGCAAAGTACTCAATTGCATAAAAATCACATTTGATTGAGTCTAGCTTCTGAAGTTTTGTCTTGTGTGGCAGATATGAGAAGAGCAAAATTGTGACACTTTGGGCAGTAGAGAGTTACAAAATGCAATGTTGGCATTTCTTTCCTGCTTTCTGAGATATGCTGTGTATTGCTTGGCAGTGTGGCACGTTTAGTCCACAAATGTTAGTTTTAGTCCACTTCAGTAAATACATGATGCTATCCTGAGCAATAGATATATAAATGGATGCGTATCGAAGGCTGCGAAATCAGGCCAGAGGAAAATAAGGCAATGACAGTTACATTATTAAGTATAGCATTATACAATATTGTTGCTGATAAACATCCTAATACTGTATTACAAGTTGTGAAATTGCATAAAAATCATTATCCCAACTAATGTACTACAATTAATAGTTTCTTTGAGTTCCTTCATTCAAAAATGTTACTTTAAGATCACTTATAGCACCCTGAAGTGTTCCCTTGTGAATCTGAATATTGCCATTTTAGTTTTTTAATTATTTTTTAATTATTCTATATTATTCTAAAAAGACTGGCCCCTTTGTCATGAGCACAAGAGCATTGCTAACAGGTAATAGCAAATACCCAGCTGGAAATATGATCAAATCAAGAAAGCATGTACACAATTTTTGTAAATGGTAATCCCAGTTACTGTTTATTGCCAATATGTGCAGTAAAATGGGATAATTATTTGCTTTTACTTACTTTGTCTACCATGGCAGGTAACAATTTTAAAGACAATAGCAGCAAATGAGTTGTTATTTCATGTTTGCTCTCTATATTATCAGTCTCAAATTTGCATTTCATAGATTATATGGAGGTCTGCTAACCTTTTACAATGTGTGTTGTTTTTGTCAGTTTATAATACTTAATTTAATCTGAATTAGTACAGTTTATACAATAAGAGCCAAAACTCTTCTTCATGTAAAACTTTTGGCAGAGTACGTAATTGCAAGAAAACTAATAGACTGAAGTCCCAATGAAGATTATTATAAGTGTAAGTAGCAATGAACAACATTAG